CTCCAGTTCCGTTTCTCCATTCCTGTATCAAAATCCCAGTATTCCTGGCTGCGTTCTTCATCAGGATTTTCCATGGCTTCCTCTGGAAGCTCCTCGTTGCGTTTGTGTCTTCTCTGGTGGAACCTGCCAGGCTTCCAGTTCCTCTTGTCAAGATCCCAAGATTCCTGGCTACGGTCTTCATATCCATCTCCCTCTGAAGGTTCATCGCTGCGTTTGTGGAGCCCTTTCTTGTGATGATAGCGATGTGTGGGTTTCCATATGCGCTTTTCTCTCTCCTCGTCCTCTTCCCCATGCTTTTTGTCCACATCCCAGGACTCTTGGCTGTRTTCTTCCTCTGGCTCCTCCTCTTCTCCCTCGTCTCGTTTGTGTTTTCTTTGGTAGTACCTTCCAGGCCTCCAGCCCCTCTTCTCTCTCTCTTCACTTTCCTCATCCACCTCCTCTACTTCGTCTTCCTTCAACCTCTTGTCCATCCCTCCCCAGCTCTCCTGACTTCGCTCGTATTCTTCCTCTTCCTCTCCCCGTTTGCTTTTCCTCTGGTGGAACCTCCCAGGCCTCCATCCGCTCCTTTTCTCCCGCTGTTCTCCTCCTTCACTCATCACCATCTTATCACCCAGACTCCAGGGTTCTTGGCCGTGCTCGCCTTCAGGCTGTTCCCTTTTTTCTTCCACAGATTTCAAGAGTGCTTCGATGTCTTTCACGTCTGCTGGTTCCTGAGCATGACCTTCCAGGACCTCCTCCTGAGCTACAGCCCCCTCACTGTTTTTCTTCTCCATTGGGGCGTGACTGATCCCTAAAACAAAAAAGAGTCTGAAGTTTAGAACAAATCTGAGAAGACTTTTGGTGATAAGGTATTACAGATTTACAGATGTAGTATACATCCACTTATTTCAGCTTTAATATTAGTTACAGCTTTGAATAACTTCTTTTTCCAGGGTGGAAAGACTGAACTTTATATAGCTTCAGTAATTAACAAAAAAAAGTGTGGGAAAGTTTAACTCGAAGATTACGATCAGTCCTASAAATTTGCAGATGCCCACAAACATCTTTTGGAAATGGTCAGACAAGACAATAACTGAGCTTTGTGGCTGCAGTGATGAACTATAGAGGAATCAAAATTAAGCTTTCAAACACTACAAACTGTCGAGCATGGTGGTGGTAGCATCATGCTGTGGTACTGGTGGATTGCACCAAGTGGTTGAAATAATGAACCTCCAAATTTTTTAAAACTTTAGTCAAATTAGCAGCAAGACAGTTGAAACCGGTGTCCAAACAAGACAACAATCCAAAACACATAAGAATTGGTTTCTGATTGGATAAATCAGGCTAACATTTAGCTTCTGGGTCAGCCTTCCCAAAGCCCCAACCTAACCTTTATTGAAAATTTATGGACTCAATGCCAAAAACCCAACTAATTAACATGAACTCTACAACTTCTGCCAAAAAAAAGTGGCCAAATACCCAGAAGCTTGTTGATGGCTACAAAATTTGTACAGTCAAGGTTCAATTTGCAACAGGACATTTACCCAAATATTGGTTGTAGGTGCACATATATATTTGAGCCTGTATGGATTAGAAGAAGTCCACAATAAGTTCCAAATCGTGCACCCAATTTCTGTTTTTAAAAATCACTGGAGCTCTATGTTGTCAAAAATGCCTCTTTGAGGAATGTTTTCCCCACAAAAAATTAATAAATCACTAAAATATTCAAATTACGGGCAACAAGTCATATTTAGCGTATTGTTCAGTCATATTTAATTTAGATTGGAAATCTTCAAACTGCATTTCATTTTAATCTGGCATCTCCTCTGCAGTTTTTAGAGTGCTGCATCATCAAAAATCTACTTCAAAGATGCCTTCTTTCCCGACTGTTTTCTTCTCAGACCATGAAAGGTTTAAGACAAAATAAAAGCCTTATCTGGTTAATCTTGGCAGCTTGATTTTGTGACAGACCTGCTCGAATAATGTCTTTGCACTCCTGGTGCAGCTGAGTGTCCGGTTTGGAGAGAGCTTTGGACAATACTTCCACCAAACACCGTGTTACCTGCAGAAAGTGCACAAGAAGGCAGCTCTTTTAGCTCAAAACATTTGATTCGTTCAAACAGAAATAAGAACAAGCATACCACATCTTCTTTCTGCTCTTCTTTGCCCACTGGAATGGCAAGGCTTTCTGCGCATGAAAAGCGAAGAATAAAAGAAAACATCCTGAGAACTGGAGAAGATTTCTGTCCATGGTGCTGAAACTGCAATAGGCTGAACACCTACCTGTAAAGAGAGCTGCCACAAACAAAAAGATGAGTCTCATGTTGTGCATGTTTTTTTTTTTTCAGTCAGAAAGAGTTGAAGCAGCTGTGGGACCAGCTCCTGTCCTCTCCGCGGCAGCGGGACACGCAGAGCTGCTCTGACTGTTCCTCCCTGCTGCTCTGAGATCTGCAGCTCAGGAGCAGCGCCTCAAATAAGGAGGGGAGTGGGCTGGAGCAGCGTGGGAGGACAGCTCCAGGCTCCTGTCATGACTCATTAAGACTCGCAGGACAAAGTGACCTGTGCGGAGTCAGACACACGAGCGAGATCAATCATTTGCTCCTTCTTGTTTTTTGTGGTTTTTTTAGGATGCTGTTGGGAGGGAAAGTGTTAATCTGATTGGTGTCACGACACATCAGAGGATGTTGCAGTTGGGGGTTGGATGTAACGTGGTCCWCCCTGTGGGTGCTGCACAAAACATTACGCTGATTCTTGTGTAGTGGTAAAACTTTCAACCTGTTTTTGATTAAAGGGATAGTCTATCCATCTTTGAAAAATTTGTATCAAATTAAGGTTTAAAGGCTTAAAAGTGCTGTTTATTTCAGGTCAAAACAAGAGATTTTTTTTYCCCCATTTTTATATGTCAGGATAAGATGTGCCTCCTAAATGTTTGGAACAAGTTACATAAGTTGGTACRTAATGACTCCTTATGTAGTTTATTTAATATAAGACGTCTCTGTGTGTTTTAGTAAGATGCACTCTGTAAATAAGATTAGAAAGTTTCTCATTATTTCTCACTGCAGTGTTCCCCTGCATCATTGGCTAATGTGCCACATATTAAAAACAAACTATAAGGTATTGTTTCTAAACACAAATCATTTTTTCCCTTCAAATATCTTTTTAATAGTTATTTTAGCTACAAGCAGATTTCATCTTGTTTTTCATGGAAGCTGCAGGGACTTGAGGCCATTTTCACCAAAATGTAAAAGTTGGTAAAACTGACAAAAACTTCTAAGAACATCTTTAGAATTGTGGATGCAGTCATTTTTTTTACAATTTGGATAAACTAAATTTATTTTTGTATTTTATTATTAATATAATCAACTCTCAACACAAGATTCACCTGGCAAAGAGGTAAAAACAAGATGTTATTTAAATGATGAATAACATTGCTCAAGAGATTATGAACACACTGTAAATTCTTTGCATATTTTTGCCCACTGTAGGAAAAAGGGCTAAAAGGTTTTGTCAATCCAATTCAAGATACTGCTAAAGCTAAACAAACCCAGGCAATACAAACATGACTATAACTCAGTCAATTTAACAGACAAGCTAAAACTTTGTTGTGGTACTATCACTGTCACAAAGATCAACTAACCAAAACATACGAGTATTATACACAAGAATGACAACACACAGGTAAAATTAACATTAAAGGCACAATGTGTAGGATTTGTTGTTTTCAGCGACATCTAGTGGTTGAGTGGTTGAATCATCCTCCCTGGTCCTCCCCCCACCCCCACCACCTGCTTCCAAACACAAAGGAGTTGCTACGGTGTCTCTCAGGTGTCAAAAACCTTTGATAATTCCAACCGCAATGTCTACCAGCAGCTTCAGGGCTAGTGATGTTTCAAGTGGTAAGATTATGAGCTTTAATAAGTAAAATTATCCCAGCTACAATGACAGACAACAAATATTACATTTATAGTATTACAACTAAAACTGTTTTTGATGCCGCCACCGCAGTTTGTCCTTCATGAGCCTTCGTAGACAAGATGGTGGTGCAAGATGGCGGCTGTCTGTACTGGCGACCCACGACCGTGGAGATATAAACAGCTTTTTATAAGGTAAAAATAATAAAACAAGGTCTTTGTCTGCAATGATTAGACATGTTTTTTATTATTGTCATTAGTGATGATCTCAATTTCGGCAAAAAGAATTGACCAAATCCTACACACTGTGCGTTTAAAATACAAAGAATATAAACAAAAACACAGACCCACTGAAATTATTTTATAGAAACCCTCAATGTTTTCAGTGGATGTACTTCCTCACATATCAGACAGGTGTGGGCCATATCTGGTGTCAAGCTGGCACTGCTGCCATGGCAAATGGTTTGCCAACCAAWTGTGGACCAGGTCTGGCAATGAGGGCACTGTGATGGCATGCCACAACTGGCAAAGTTTGGGTTTGGCATGTGGCCCAAATCTGTCAGTGTTACAACTGGCTTGGTCGTGCTTTGGTTTATGTGGCCCAAAACTGTCGATGCCACAACTGGCCYRGTTACAGTTCAGTTTATGTGGCCCAAATCAATGCATCACTGGCCTGGTTGCAGTTTGGTTTATGTGACTTAAATCTGTCARTGTTATAAGTGGCCTGGTTGTGCTTTGGTTTATGTGGTGCTGGCCTATGCATGGACCACATCTGGAAAGTCACATCTGGGCCACAAAAAGGCTGTCATTCTTTACGGTATCTGGGCCACACATTGGGCCAGATATGAGCCAGACAAATTTTGCTATGTGACTCACTTTAAGATGTCCACCATAACTACTGACATTAAACAGTTATAACCCCATTATTTCGCAACAAAAAATAATTTGAAAAATCTGGCATGAGAAGTGGTGGGCGAAATACATTTTTTGAAGGAAAGCCAGGCTTTTTTATTATCTGGACATCAGAATTTATTTCATCTAAATATCCTTCCCATGAACACTGACTGTTCTCAGGTCTGACTCAAACTGAGAGCTATTGACATGTTGTCCTGAGCACTTCTGCTTTACTTGTTTCCCCTCAGTGCACACACACTTTCATTTCCACCCAAAAGGAGCCCATAAGTGACCAGTGTGGGAATCAAAGGAATGAGAACCCAAAATTCAGGAAAAAGAAACAAACAAGTTTACATAAAGCTGTTTACACAACAACAAATGACCTTTATGTGTGGCCAAGTGTGTGCAAATTCAATCAGGTCCCAGAAACCAGACGTGCAGAAACTGCAGCGGCTCTGAGCGAAACAGGAACGCCGTGTTTCATGAATCTGTCTGCGCTCCTCATGCCTACATGACTGGTTACAGATATTTGTTGCTGCAGTCCGCCTCCGTCGGGGGTGAAATAATAACTGGTCAGAGCACAAAACTGTAAAGTCGAATGGTGTATTGCGTATCAGAGCAATCCATGCTCATCTGAAGCCAGGCTCAGTCTTTAATGTGAATTATAGGAAGTACACTTCTAGTTCCACATGCTTTGTGTTTATGAGCAGCAGAGTGACGGAGCTCTGCAGGTTCATAGACTCTCTCTGAGGAGAAAGTTTGTCTGACACCCACTTCCACAGCCTCTAAAGAGACAAACTGATGAATTCTGAAGCAGCTCTGCTTTGAACAGCGTGTGTGAATTCATTCCTGCATGATGCTTTTTGAGTGATTCTGTCCCTTCGCTGCTCTCCCTCCAGCCTTAACTTCACTAACATTTTTGCACAAGTTTGTGTACCTTTGTCTCATGATTGCACACATTCACAAGGCTTGACTAAAACTCCCATCTCTGCCTAAGACGATCTCAGCTTAAAACTTTGGGATAAAAAGCAGCAAGTAATACGCTTTCCTTTAAGGTCTGCTAAATTAAAGGCAGATATGGAAGCTCACATGCATCATAAAGAGAACTCTGTGTTCACATGGTTTGTACTCAGTTCAGCTCAGGACGGCAGCATCACCTCTTTCATCACAACCATTTACATACAGGAACAAAAGGAGAATCTGCTCACACTGAGCTCAATGGGAGAGCTGCATAAAAAACAGCACTGGGCTTTGATCTTTGCTGAGGGAGRAGCTGTATGATTGTCTTCGAACCACTGACACACTTTGATGATCGTCTAAGAACAATAAAGGAACCTTTGCACGGTCTTCTGTGGTCACATCCACTTGGTTTGCTTGGTAATTCATTTTATTCTCTGACATGTTGAGATTKTTTGGATCTGTGCTTTTTGTTAGTTGTCGTTAGTGTTGATTAAGTTTATTTCCTATTTTGTACATGCTATATTTTTAGTGCTCCCAAGATTTACCAATCTGTTTCCGTGCTGACGCAAATTTATTACTCCCAGTAATTTTCCACTGTTTGTCTCTGCTCCTCAGCCCTGACACGCTGAAAATACACCTGTTCTCTATTCCATCTCGGTCAGTTGTCTCACATCTCCTTGTCAGCCACAGCCCATTTGTGACCCATCATATCGAAATGAGAATTAAGTCAAATTTGGTCAAAATGACCTAATTACATTTTCAGATTTTTGGCTTTAAAAGCTACATTTTGATACCTGGATCATTCTGATGTATCATAAGCTTATACAGAGATATGACTTAATTTGTCTTGTTGGTTACGATACGACATTTCTGTTTGGTCTAAATCCTAATTTTATGTAAATTTATTGAGTAACTTTTTATGTCAATATAAAGAGGAAACCTCAAATAGTTTTGTATATTAAGATTTCCCAGTTGAGAAGAAACAAAAACATTGCGAGCTCCACAGGGAAAAATCCCAAATTTTAAGATGTTTTTCCTCAAAATCAGGTTTTTTGTTCAATACTTTTTCCCTGTACCATTCCACATTATTACAAATAACTTTATTTCTGGACATTTATGGTTTGATTTCTTTGTATGTATGGATCACTTGGGTTGTTACCAACATCTGGTGAAAATTTCTTGTCATTAGCACCTCTATTAATATATTTACTGAGAAAAATGGTGACGTGTTCAATACTTATTTTACCCACTGTATATGAGACAGTTCATTCAAATGATTCACTGAAAAGCATTAATTCATTATATTTTGACAAAATGCAATTTTTGCACACATTTAAATCAAAACCCTATATTCGCATATTTCTCTACATTCCACTTTTGGACTTAATCCTCGTTTCGATGTGATGGGTCACATTTATTCCCGCTGTCCCCATTCACTCCTCAGTGGAGCATTATGSATTATTACAGCCCGTGTATGATCATTTTTGTGTCTCCTTGAGCCTTATTTCCTCTTAGTTGTGGTTTTTTGCTGCCTTGTCAGCTTTTTGTTTCATTTGCAATAAATTTAAGTTTTATTTTATTGAGCTCATATACAGAAGGTTTGCATTCCTGGTTCCAAACCACTTGAAATTGTGACAATGGTAAAGAATTTTATGTAGCATTTCATTTATCTGAAAAGTATGAACTCTTTATAAATGAAGTCACACCAAAATAAGCTGTGATCCAGTTGCAGGTTTAGAAAATAAGTATGATTTGCTAACTGTTGTGCTGAGTAGCCAGGCTAACGATTATTAGCGACACAAACTGAACAGTGTAACATGACTGGACATGGTTCTTGATCACAAAAGTAGTGTGGGATGGTTTTACTAAAATTCTCATAAACAAAAGTGAAACTATAAATTTTATTACAGCACCTATTGTGCACAAGTCAGCCATGTTGACTTTTAAGGTCGAGGTTGGTCGACAGTCTCCACAACCAAACCTCATTAATTGTTATAAAAGATTTGAGCTGTTTTTAAATGACAGTATTCCATTTAATTTTTGCTTGGACTAGCTGTTAGCTTGTCAGTTTGGTCAGAATTAAACAATTCCACCAAAATGAGGTCATTGAAAGAC